CGTAGATAGCAGCGTCCCGTCGGTCCGTCCTCGATCCGGAGGCCCTGTTCGGGTCGAATGATGTGCCGCTAGGCAGAACAAACGCCCGTCACCTGGTAAATCTTTTCGCGTAATGGACGGGGTAATAGTTTAATTTATAATAAATAATGTGCAATAATGTAAACTAAAACTTTAGCTTGCCAGGTTACCTTAGGCGCCAAATGTCCGGTAAAATTGAGCCCTGGCCACTAGGACTGGGGCAAGCGACTTCGACCACGAGGCTACGGGAGGGACGTGGGAGGGAAAGGGAGAGGAGATCTGGATGGTCTTTGAAGGCCGCCAAAATCAAATAGCAAAAGGCCGTGTCACCGCCGGGGCTCGAACCCGGTCCCTGCGCTCGGCAAGCGAACACAAACCAATGAGCCAACAGGCCAACGGTATCGGCATGGACTGAACTTTATAGTTCAGTCGATTTTTTAGCTAGAAATTTGTATTAGGAAGGGCGGAACGGGGTATAAATAAACGCAGATGGTGGAACTATATAGTTCCATCTCTTTCAACCCCCCGATTCCTCTTCTTAATTCTTCCGGAATTTTTAACCCGATTTTCATCGGTTTTTTGGGCGTAAATTACGCAATTTTGTGCAAAAATTTAATTTAATCGGTTTCAGTCCCATCCAAGCGGTGTTTTCTCAAATGCCGACCTTGAGCTGCCAGGAAAGATGTAAAAATTTCGGAAATGGTGGTTTTGTTGAAAACACTTGCGTGGGGAAAAGGCATCGAAATTCAGCCAATTTCGCAAAAATGTTCGTAAATGTCATAAAAATCGGGAATTTCGAAAATCGGAAAGAACATATCTCCTCGGCTCGTTGAGAGCTTTCGATAGATACCTAAATCGTAAAAAGCGGGCATCACTGCGGACCGCTAGAGGGGGATCTTTTTTTGGGACACCATGTAGTTCCACCAGGGTTTTACCCACAAATGGTTTGAAAATCTTGGGGCTGACGGTCGTGATTATTGCTGTCGGGATTTTGTTTGTCGGATTATAGCTGTCGGGATTATGGCTGAAATGCATCTAATCGGTGTAACGTCGCCTCAGCACTATACACTTGGATGGCATTCAAAAAGCACTCGTTGGGCTGTGCAAAAAAAGCATGATGAATAAAAGAATTGTGGTGATGCGATAAATACAACGTTTCAACGGAAAAACGTGAAGTTCCAAAGACGGAGAGAGCCTAAACTGCTAGGATTGCTGTGTTGGGGCGCCATGCAATGTGTGTTTTTTGGTCTTCAATAACCCAAAAATCTTTTATTCAGCCGATGGTACCATATTTGTAAAAACACCAATGAATTGTGATTAGCATGGCGAAGGAGACGGTCCAAGGCACTTCAGCAAATCGGGCTGTAGGCGCCAATCAGCCTGTCCTTCGGCGGGTCGAACTCCACTGTTGGCTGAACACAGGAAATCGATAACCACGAACTTCTTATGTATTATCGGGGGGGGGCAACAAATTTGTTACTGTGTCCATCTCAAAGTTTTCATTATGTTTTTCGTAAAATACAACTAATTTTAGCCAGAATAACCATCTAAAAACTTTCGAAAATTCTTCAAAAAGTTGAAATTTGAGTAAAAAGCCACCGTTTTCATAGAAAAATCGATATTTTCTGTAGTTTTTAATACAGCTTTTAATACCGATTTTATCCGTTAGGAATCGTAAAAACTCTTTAGGAACACTTCCGCTATTTATTTTCAAAAAATTGGTTCGAAGAAAACGAAATTTTTCTCCCTCCCCGATAATGCCAAAGAACCGAATTAGAAAACTACCGTGAAAGACTTCTCGCTAGAACCGCTACGCACCGGGGTAGCCAACTCAATAAGATGGGATTGACGTTTTCGGGCCTCAAATGTCTACCAGGCGATCGATGGCCAGCTCGCGCACGGGGATCGAATTGTAGATTTCATGCTGTTTCCATTCCTTCAACGCGGTTCTAGCGCGATCTCGCGCGGCGAAGCGCTAAAACAGAAAAATAGGTGTTATCTTAAGTTTTTTTTTTTGTAAAATGTAACTATATTTCAAATAGAAAACCAACAAAAAACTAAAATAATTTTTTACTCAAAATTTTTGGTCGAAAATTCCAGATTTTGAAATCTTTTGCATAGAAATTTGTAAGGCTTCGAGATTTAGGAATCGTAAAAAAGCAGCTGAAAAAGTTCGTCCTCTATTTTTAGTTGGAAAATCTGGATACGAGAGGCCTCCCCCGATAATGCAAAAGTACCCGGTAAGGGCCGGGGGGGGGGGGGCGGGCGGGATAATTTTCTTTTTCCGTAAACCTAGATTTTTTTTACGAATAGCAGATGCATTTCTACGTTGTTTGAAGCTATTCCTAAGCATTGAAACTTTACAAATTTAAATAAAAATCTAATGTTAAACCGAAAAATTGATTTTTTCGACAAAAGACCAAGATTTCGTCTTTTGCAAACATTTTTAAAACTTCTTTCAAAAGTTGTTCTGCTTTAGATGTCAAAACCCACATCGGAAATTGTGCGGCGCGTCCGTCGCACCATTCTGCGTACGCGGATCACTTTTTCAGGCTCGTCTCCGGCGAAGGCAGCCTTGATCTTCTTCTGGGCGAGCTCGGTGGCGGCGAAGGAGGCCGCGGTCTCCTCGTGGGTGCGTGTCCTAAAAAGCTTGCATTTCTTCGGCCCTCATTCTTCACAACCTGCGAAACTCGTAGTCGCAAGAGATGAGTAAGATGCTGGAACCTTTCACACCGACCAGCAGGCCTTCGCGGCACTGCAAAAATGGGTTCTGGACTGTTAGGGTGGGGGGTGGGGGTGGACCAAATTTTCCCGGTGATTTTCTACGGCCCTATAACTAAATATGATCAATTATTATGGAATTTTACATAATTTTTAGATTGAAAAACAATATAAAAATAAGGAAATTTTTCGAAAATATTGGGCTTTTGGTCAAAAATGTATAAAAATGGCCAATAAAGGTCAAATTTATTGAATGTTCTAAATTAAATTTTTTATAACTTTCTGACAATCACAAACTACAAAAAAAAAAACTATCAAAATACATTATACATCATCAAACGGGTTGGTGAAAACAGAAAGTGCCCCCCCCCCCGCTAACAGCTCAGGTCCTAAAAATAACTGGACTTCATAAAACGACTCGACAGCAGAGCTCACGTTGGGCCCACGGCGGATCAGCCAAAATCCCTCGGCATCATTGTTGATCCAGTCGATGCGATGCGCTTCCGGTTGATTGTTGCAAAAGCTTTCCGGGCAGCCCGCAGATCGCTGAAAATAGAGAAAATATATAAAGATGTTAAGGATCTTACTAGGAAAATGGAAATCAAAAACCCAGCAAATCGCTTAGCAAAAAGCAAAAAATTTTGCATTACTAGGGCACCGAACCAGTAACCCTTCATTCAAGAGGCAAGCCACTCCGCCACCCGACAGGCGGTCACCCTACTTTGGGAGAGGCTCGTAAGGGAGGGCGGGCAAAGTGATGCAAAACTTAAAACGCCCATAACTTTTTGTATTAAGCGTTTTGCAAAGTCTGTCGAGATATTCGGAATCCCCGTCGCCGACTCTGTCAGTCCCATATTTTTGCTAAGCGATTTGCTGGGTCCTTTATTTGCACTTCCCAAGTTAGAAAACAACAAAGAATGCCGAAATTTTCGTCAAAATCGGCTATTTTCGGTCGATCGAAATTTTGTTATTTTTTCACGTTTGGCATAGGAAAAAAGAATTTAGAAACACTTTCACTATTTATATTTGAAAAATTAGATCTTATGAATAAAGATGGTGTGAGCCCGATAATGCGAGAAAACCAAACGGACCAACGAAGTCCAAAAAAAAGCTACAAAGGACGATGGCGAAGAGGTAACCCGTATAATGACGGACCTGGGTTGATGACTTTCCAGTCCATCCATTGAGTCTGGTGGTCGTCTCGGATACGCGTCGGGACGGGGCACGCAGGATTAGCAGGCTGGTGTCTATCTGGCGCTCACCCCGCTGCCACTGCTAAAAATGTGAAATGAAAATGATTGCATGGGATGCCTCGACCTCGACGAAGATGTTCAGCGTCGGCTCGAGCGCCTTGTTGATGTCTGGGGACGAAGTTTTGTAAACTGTAAAAATGTTAGAACAATCATTTGCTCAGTCACGCCTACATTGGTAGCTATGGAAGTAGGCCGTGATGTTGGGGGCCTTGACGTCGATGAGGAGCGTCATTTCATCCATTTCGCGAGTGAAGCGCACCCAGAATTTTTGCAAATCCTGAAAGAACCTTCTTTTTGGATCGGGACTGTTTGCGGGTTGGGTAGTCTGTAACCTTCGCTTTTGGCCTGGGCTTAGGGTGGGCTTAGGTTAGGCTCAGGCTTGGCTTGTGCGTAGGCTTCGCTTTTTGGAGTGGGCTTAGGCTGCGCTTAGGCTTAGACTTAGCCGTTGATTTTGGCTTGTGCTTACAAGGGGATGGTCTCAGCTCGGAATCGAATTCGGATTTGAAAATTTGCACACTTATAGAGCTCGACGAGACAAATCGATTGGTGTAACTTTCAGCAGCAGATACCCCGAAATAACAAAGTTATAAGCATTTTTAGTTTTTGCATACATTTTGCAGATTTTTCGCCATACCTTCATAAGCCCTCCCCCTTCCCCCATCAGCGTGGTCTGGTGGTCTAGTGGCGTGGTACGCGGCGTTATTTTTTATTTTTTTCAGAGCCCCTTTAAAGTATCTAGTTCTTAGAGGGCTTTTTTTAGTGTGACTCGAGCTTTTCTTAGGGTTATTCGAGCTTTTTAGTGTGAATCGAGTTTTTTAGTTTTTCGAGTTTTACGTGATTTCGAGGTGACAACAGGGAATTTCAAATTTGCGAGCTTCCGGCGACCCTAGGTGTGCAGTGCGGGTAATTATATAAGGTAGGATAATAATGCATATCGAATAGCATGCTGATTATAATGATTGGCAAAATTAGCATATTGAATAAGAAATTCGGCTCGAAAACCCCTGCACCGGTAAAAGCTTTTCATTCTCTTCCCACCACCCTACCCGAAGAGTGGTGCATCCCAGAGATGCTGATCACGCTCGTGCGCTTCTTCCTAGCTCGGGTATGCAGATTATGCAATTTCTAGCTTCTTGTCGTGTTCGTATAATTCGCATAATTTCTAGCAGTAAAAGAGAAAACCTGGTAAGAACGGTTCAGTACGAACTACGAAGGAATCAAACTACGGTATAACTAAAAACAGGACGAACAGTACGACTTTACTCCCCCCCCCGTTAACAGTCCAGTACCGATCTTTTTTTCAGACGATCTACCATCCGCCGGTCGACAATGTGGACGAAAATGAGGACGTGGTCACGCTATCGGCACCCCTGGATTTTCGGGGCTTTTGGCTCTCGGAGGACTCCGAGTCGGACCAAGCTGGCGAGCCGTTCGAGCTTGATGAGCATCAAATGAAGGCCAGAGATGATGTGCGTCTTCTACCGCAGAGTTTGATATTCAAGCCTTTTTAGCCCTTCAACGCCGATCCCATCACGTTCGACAAGTTCAAGGCGCTGCCCATCGAGCTTCAACAAATGATCGTCGCCCGTCTCCACCCGTCCTACTGGCTCATCCTCGCCCATCTGCATCCCCACTTCAAGGTGCTGCTCCAGGCCCAAAACACTGGAGGGTCCAACGTAGCATCAGCTAGGAAACTAGGTACTAGCCAGCGGGGGGTAGGACATTGTTAGTGACGAGGGAAAACAAATTTTGGATTTTTCTGTTCTGGACTGTTAGCGGGGGCAAACCAAATTTTCCCCATGTATCGCTACGGACCGATCCAAAACTATAAACCATTGTTATAGCATTTTACAGTTTTTAGATAAAAGCGAAGTTGGGTGTCCCAGGGCCACGACCTATCTGGAATTGTTCGTTAAAGAGCATCAATCGGTCTCAAATGTGGATTAGAGGTGGATTGCAGACCCTGGGTTAAGAACAACCTCGACGTGTATAACCTTGTAGGCAAAGTAGTTCTCGAGTATAGCAAAACAAACTGATCTTCCATTTCAAGGGTTTCGGGAATTAACCCCTAACATTAAGTGAAAATGATCCGGTGGGCCTTCTTTACCCAAGGTGAAATTTTTTCCGGACTAAAATTAACCAAATAAACTTCGATTTAAGCGATTTTTACAACGCAAAAATAACCCAAGATCTTAAGCGAAATTAGGGATTCGCAGCCGGAAGCCGATGCAAATCGATGCAAAGTCCAAAAAGATAGCCGAAAAAACTGCTTAGAATTGCGGGGAAATCCGTATTTTCGTTATAACTCGAGAACTACTATAGCTAGCGGGGCTATAAGTCAGGATTGTTGTTGCTTAGGTCTGATACACCTTGGTCCAAATTTGGGACCGATTGGGATGTAACACGGCGAAATGCCAGATGGGTCGTTTTTTTTGGGACACCCTGTAAACAAAAATGTTCAAAATTTTTGATTTTTATTTTGGTGGTGGTAAACTGCACTCTGCGCCGCTTCCAGTACATTATCACGTTAAAATTTTTTACAAATCTTTAGGTCCTGATCCTGAGCCTGCGAAAGCGCTACCACATCGTCTTCCCGGGAAATAGCCCAATAAAGCAACGGATCGCCTCCAGCCCCTATGAGTACAAGTTGGTTTAACTCCGTGGCTCAAAATATCTAACCCTGATTGCAGCGGTCTCTATTTGCTCTGCAATCCCTCCGACTCGGCGACGACATGGCGTTGAAATTCTTCACATCCGCCGATCGTACGTCACTCGGCTCTTGCTCAAATGAAATAAATGTTTAGGAAGCGGATTGAGGAGCGAACTGGTGATGCTCGAGTGCGAGCGTACGATCGATCGGATGGTCGTCTTCTATCGACGGACGCTGGGCTGAAGGGAAGTACAGTTTTTCGTACTCTTCTCTCTCTCCCTCTCTCTCTTCTCTCTCCCCTCTCTCTCTTTCCCTCTCTCTCCGCTCCCACTCTCTCTTCTCTTTCTCTTCTCTCTTTCTCTCTCGTCTCTCTTCACCCTGTTCTCTTCCCTCTTCTCTCTCGCCTCTGCCTCTCGCCTCGCCTCTCTTTCTCCCTCTCTCTCTCTCGTTCTTTCTCTCCCTCTCTTTCGCTCTCTCTCAAACAAAATTCAGGCCGAAGCTGAAAAGAAGCTCGAGAAACGAATCAAAGACGACGAAGAGATCCTCTTAACAAATTGCCAGCTCACAAAGGTATTTTTCCTATTTTTCGATGGGCCATTTCCCCCTTATTTTCCAGTTCCAAGCCGGACGTCAACCTGGCCCGTTTCCTGGCATGCGAGCCGATATTCTGGAGGAAACCTACGGCGGCACCCCCGAATCGTTCCGTCGCGGCATGGGTACGTGTGATTCTCCCTTCACTTTTAGAGGCAACTCTGTAAGCTCGCAAATATCGGAAACGTCACCTTTTTCTAGCCGAGCTCGGCGCGCACAGCTACATGGCCAACACGCACCCTCGCTGCCGGAACGATACCTACCTGCCGTTGATCCGAGCCATCGCTGAGCACGCTCCGGTATGAAATTCGGTCAAATTGTCGCATCCGGGCATTAAACCGATCTCGGATTTTTATATGTCAAATTGCTCAGCAGGTCGAGCTGATTCAGGATCAATTTGAAAAAACTTCGGAGAGACTTGTGTCTCAACATAGGACACTTCAAAGTTTGACTTCAACCCACTCTTTATATAACCTGTTCTCGCCCCTGGAAGTCCGTTTTCAATGCGATACAATATGGATAAGTGCTCGATAAGAGCTTAGCTTTACTCTCCACACCCAATTTGAGCTTAAAAATAAAGCTTCGTGCCACCCCGGGGCCTAGTCGTTTCGGATGGGCGCGAGCTCGTAAAGGCTTTCGAAATCGGGGCGCCCGAGGTGCGCGTAGCGGCCAGGGGGTCCATAGGTGTATTGCGTACTACGTGTCTTTCCTATGTACGGTTGGGTTACATAGGTGTATTGGCTACTACGTGTCGGCCTGTTTTGAGGCCGTGTAAGCTACATATCTCCCGATAGCGATTTTTCCAAAAAGTTTTTTCATCTGATCCTGGATCAACTCAACATTTTGACATAACAAACTACGATTTTCGCTTAGTGACCGGATACTTCAGTAGCCAACTTTGAAGGGTCATATCTCGAGACAGAAGTGTTTCCGAAAAGTTTTTTCTACTGATCTGTAATCAGCTCGACCTGCTGAGGATTTTGACAAAAATGCGAAATCGGTTGCGTGACCGGATACTACAACTTTCCCGGACCCGATTTGCAGCTTGTTGGTTTTGGGGTTTTTTTTCGCAAACTAAAAACCCGATTCTTTCGTGTTATCTTGAGAGAGCATGATTTTTTTAAATATAAGCCAAAATACCATAGTAAATTTGTTGATCTATTTTTAGTAAGCGCGAACTGGACTGTTGAGCAAAACGTTGTTGGACAATATTTTCAAATTTTAAGCAATACTTGAAAGCCCATTTAAGCCCCTGAAACGCCTCGACTTCGGCGTTGGGCGCACGCTGTACGAAATCTGGGCCCTCCGCAAGGTCAAAGTGCCGGTGATGCACATCCGCCACTACCTGTCGCTGCCGAGGGCCAACGAACAGGGTTCGTAGCAATTTCGACTTCTTTTTTTTGTTTGACCCGTTCAACCTAGGCCATTTCAGCCGGATCGATGCCGTCCGTCGAGGAGCTTGGGGTGTCCCGGGCGCCGCTGCCCACCCCGGAGAGCACGCTTCGCGTCATCGAAATGATTAGGCGGACCTGCGAGGAGATGATTAACGTGAGAAAAATTATTGGTCGCATTGAAGCCACAAGCCGGAAGTTCCAAGGCCAGAACTCCAAATATCCGATTAGAAATCACTCCAATGCGCCCAATTTTTTTTATTTGAAGGATAGGACTGCCTAGTAATATACAGGGTATACTTCGCCGCCCACTCAAGGCGGTCTCCTGGGGGACGGAGGGGGACTGGGAGGGGGGGACCGAGGGGGATCTCCAGGGGACTCCCCCCCCCCTAGGGTGGTAAAGCTGTGCCGATTTTCGCTGCGCCGATTTACAGTATGCCGATTATTGGTATGCCGAATTTTCACTATGCCGAATTTTAACTATGCAGAATTTTCACTATACCGAATCGGCATGGTGAAAATTCGGTATCGTGAAAATCGGCATGGTGAAAATTCGGTATACCAAATATTCGGCATAGCGAAATTCGGCATAGTGAAAATTCGGTATAG